TTTTCTACTTGTGGGATAATCTGTGTTTCTACATAAATAAGAATCTGCACAATATCAGCAGGACTTATGTATATTTCTTGTAAAAAAAATAAATAAAATAAACTAAAAAATAAAAATAAATGTCCTTCTAATGTCTCTAATTTTTGCACTTTTAATAAACCTAATAAAGGCTCGTCTTATTTGATGGGGGAATAAAAAACTGCGTTTTCGTTTCCCTAAAATGTTGTTTTATGTTTTATTGAAAACACTCAGTGGCTTTAATTATCAATTAAATGCGTTATGAGCAAGATGTACATTTAAAATCTATTTCTTCTAGATGTAGATGAATCTGTGCAACACCAGTATTTTAATATCAGTATTTTTTATATACTTGTTTGTTTTTCCTACTTCTACTTCTTGTTAAATTTTTATTTTTCTACTGATGTCTCTACATGTTCGCACCGATAATAAACCTAACTTGTCTGTAGGGGGAATAAAAACCTAAAAGCATTAACTTACATGTTAATAAAAACCCACTGTGCATTTATTTTAGAATACTTTACAAGCAGCACATCAATCCTGTCCAACATCGACGCATTTAAACATGTGCGTTATGAGCAATATGTACATTTAAAATATATTTCTTCTAGATGTAGATGAATCTGTGCAACACCAGTATTTTAATATCAGTATTTTTTATATACTTGTTAGTTTTTCCTACATATAGAACAACTCTGTAATATTTTTATTTTTTTAATATTTAAAGGACTCTGTGCTGAATCTGAATTTCTACATATAGAACAATCTACTTCTTGTTAAATTGCTATTTTTCTACTGATGTCTCTCCATGTTCGTACCGATAATAAACCTAACTTATCTGTAGGGGGAATAAAAAAAACAAAAGAACTTTAATTTATCTAACACCATTAACTTACATGTTAATAAAAACCCACTGTGCATTTATTTTAGAATACAAGCAGCACATCAATCCTGTCCAACATCGACACATTTAAACATGTGCGTTGTGAATATTATCCACATATAAAATACTCTACAAGTTAACATTTTCTACATGTAGATGAATCTGTGCAATGTCAGTGTTATATTTTAGATCAGTATTTTGTACCTGTGGAATAATTTGTGCAAGTTTTTTCTACACATTGAATAACCTTGTGCAATACTACTCTTTATAACTCTATAACAAAATCTGAATTTTCTCCTATAGAGGAATCTGCATAACAATCAGCAGCACTTGTTTAATTTTAAATTTTCTACTGATTTTTACACATTTTCACTATTAATAAACTTTAATTATTTGCAGGGGGAATAAAAAGTGCAAAATAATTTACTTTAACATACAGCAGAATCTGTGCAACATCACTAGTTTTCCTACAAATAGAATAATCCTGTGTAAAATTGTTGTTTTTCAAATTAATCTGAATTTCTACCTTCCATATCATCAGTATTTATGTATATCTCTTGTTAGTTTTTCTACTTTTCTACTAATGTCTCTATATTTTTGCACTCGACTCAACTTAAGAAAGGAGAATCTTATGTTGTCATGAAAATGCACCAAAACTGAAGTTCTCATTTTGTTTACACGGGCAGATGCTACCTCATGTCACCGTGCTGCGTCTGCTCACCTCTCTGGTTGACTGGATCTTTGGCCACATATGCTACGTACTCAGCCGTATCCTGAGGGAGGGAGACAGGGGGGGGGGGAGACGGTTAGGGGAGGAGGGCGAAGGGAAAAAATCGATGGGAGGAAAAGTAAAAGGGGGCAGGTTCAGGACAGGAAGGTTGAGAAGAAGAAGAAGAAGAAGAAGAAGAAACAGATAAAAGCTGTAAGTTAGAAGTTAAAAAAACAAAAAACAAACAGCTGAAAAAGAGATCAGCTTCGGAGGAGGCAAACCAGTGAAGCAGCAGCAGCAGCAGCAGCAACCGAGTGAGTGGTATTTGTAAGAATAGACAATGACAGAAGGCAGGAAGGAAGGACATGCAGGCTGGAGAAAGATGGAAAAAGGCCAGAGTGAGATTTGAGCTGAGAGAGAG